ACAAATACTTCTGTTGAATATAGAACCTTATTATATAAATAAGAACTATATTTTAGTTGCATACGACATAATTATGTTAAACTACACTAAGTCATAGAGAGAATTTTCAGCTCATGTCGCTCATGAGAAACAATACATATAGGCTAGGTATATTTCATTTGGATACTTCGTGTAACAATTTTTAACTGTGCATTTTTGAGTGTATTTTCTCCAACAAGAATAACATTGATTTTCGTGATTAATATTATAAATTTTATATGGCTGAAATACTGAATAATATATTATTATGTTTAATGTTACACTATCAGTGACTTAGAGGACGACGTAGGTTAATATTTTTAACTACAAAAATATGAATAAACGACAGCAACCATAATATCTACACGATCCATAAAGTCAATTAATAAATAATGATTAAAATCTGTGTTCCATCTATAAATATCTATATTATACACGTGATTTCCGTTTTTGTTATCTACGTTTTTTCGTCTGTGAATTACAATATTATTAATTATTTATAAAATACTCATGTAAAGTAATACTTCAATAAGTCCGTAGTAAAACGATCACGGAATTTAAAATTAAAAAAATTGTTACACATCAGAATTTAAAAAAAACTGTAACGCATTTTATAAATATTATTAAAATTAAAACAATTAAGTAATATTATAATAGTTTGTTTTAAATTAATTTCATTATATGAACAAAATGTTTTCGAAATTAATTTCTGTGGTTTTTAACAAATAGAACCCGCATGAATGTCACATTTTTAAAGAGTGAAAACTGCTAATTGTTTCATACGATTGACAACCATAAACTCTGAATAATTTGATTGTGATTTACATTGATTGAAATTTGAAATTCTTCTGTTTCTTTTGCTGCCTCTACAGCCTTTATTCGTTTGTTTCTTTCTCGTCATTATCTGTTGTGACTTGATATCAATGCTATCTTTTTCAGTACTCAGATTTCAATGAACCAAAAAAACTATTCACCTCGAAATTATACTGGTATAAATAATTTTAAAATAATTAAAAAATTTCCCATTTCGGATACTTTTATTTTCAACTTTATTTAGAGGTATTCATTTATTTCATTCAAAATTGACCTATGAATAATAACGATAGGTTATAATGTTATATTATTGATCATTACAGTGTCGACCTGGTACTTAAAGGGACCCGGATGCATTTCTTCAGAAGGGACCTCAAAAATTTTATTTCATAAAAAAATGCTTATAAGTAGTGAAATATTACATTTTTACGTTTTTAGTAATACCGTGGCCACTCGACACAAATACGGCCAGAGGCCCCGGATGCGTTTGCGGCCTAACGGCCATGCCCAGGCCGACACTATTAGATCATTACATAAATGATACCATTAACGGATGTTTTACCACTTTTAAGAGTTTAGGGTTTTCCGGAGTGGATATATGTTTGCCGGCTGCGACCTTCTATTATAGGTACGCTAACAGCCTRGGGTTAACGGGCTATAGCCAAATACGGCGCAGTCTTAAGAATTTTTAAATCATATCATCATTTCGCCCTAATTTAAGGTTTGACTTTTCAATTATATCATTATCAAAATAATATTCACATAAAATGATACAAAATTTTAATTCAATTAACTAAATTAAGAATAAAAGATATTAAGATTGATATTGATATTGGTCAATATAGGGGTACCATAATAATAAAAGCTCAGGACACCAAAACTCTTAATCCGGCTCGCTGTACATTTATCGCAACGTGTGGTCCTAAACTTTTGAAAACATAAGTTGCCAATTTACCTCAAAGTACACTTTGTAAACAATACCATCGTGAATCGTAAGGAATACCTGTTGCACTGCGTATAATCTATACATATAAAACATATTATATATTATATATAACAGTCGTAAAGCGCAAGACTGAAAATACTTATAAGTGATGGCTCGCCACCGGAAACGCCAATTGTGAGGAGCACGACTTTCTCGACTGAATCGTGTATTGTCGTCTTCCCGATGGACGTATAGTCATTCAAAACAAACGTTATAATGCAATACAATACATGCATTATATTATATTACTACAAATATGTGTGTGTGTGTGTGTGTAGGACTTTCTGAGTCTTTCTACTACCTACATAAAAATATGGCTCTCGGGACCCTCGTTTTACGACTGTTAAATTGTTGTTATTATTATTAAACATGCCGGTTAGATACTCTTTGTGATAATCGAGATGTAAGCACCGTCCGTCAACTTCCCATATTGTAACATACGATGTCGTTTAACTCGTTATAATTATTAATTACCTTTGAATTAACAAAACGTAGACAACACTTCTATTAGTTCTATAGCACAGCAACATGTGTTATGTCATAAAGAAAATCTGCGACTGAGGTATTGCAATAAACATCGTATAGCGTCAAATTAATTCCTTTTTAATACTCTTTTTTTTCGAAGTATAATACTTAGGTATGTAAACAATACTTTTGCGTAATTATTTTTATCATATTTAATTTTTTATTTAGGTACGCGATAATAGTCCACTATTCCAAGAATAATTATATCATGTAGGTATGTTGTTATACCAAAGTAAATTACGAATTTTCCCCTAACTATAACTTATTAGTAATAAGTTATTATTTTGAAGTTTATGATATCACATTGACGAAAGACGGAAATATAATGAATCGAGGAAACAAGAGTGTGTATTCTCCGATGATGTCGATCACGCACAAATCTGCGTATAATATAAAATTACAGCGGACTAAAGATTTAAGGCCAACGAAGGTCACGCTACTTGGAGCACTTGATTGGTCACAGAAACGTGTTATGTAAGAACAAGTGCATTATTGCAGTTGTGCAGCTCTGAATAGCACATGATTTTCTCACCTGCAGTTTGTGGCATTAAGTTGTAAATGCATTTCAGTATTTGTAAATCGTATGTTCTCGCTCAATTTTCGTTTCTTTCCGCAAAAACTAGTAACCTTTTCGTGTTTATTGGGGCAATATACTTCGTTAAAAAAAATCAAAAATTAAGTTTTGTATACGGTAAATATTTTTGTGAAAAACACAATTTACCCACCACACAGGGCACACACCGCCGATTCTACTAGAATGTTAAATGGTAAATTCTAATTCTAATTATTCTAATTATTATTATTTTTTTTTTTTTTAATTGAGTATTACCGTAGTTAAAAGAGTGGTCACAGTTAAAAGAAGTGAAGATAGCGGCAGTATAGTCGCCAGAACATAAAAATACCTATTAGGTACATAACATACTCAGGTACTCACATATAGTCACATATTACAGAAATGGAAACCACTTTATACTTTATATTTATAGGTACCTAAATGTTTGTTTCAAATTGTTTGTTTTAGTACTGTCTACAATATGTGCATACAATATGCGTCATTCTTCTACTTAGAAACGAACAATTTTCTCGAGAACCATCGAAAAACAGCGTACACGCTGACAACGAACACGTGTAATTATACGCCTAATATTTTAATAGCACCTAATACTACTTGTATAATATAAGTTATTACAGGTAGGTACACAACCGTGTCAACGTCTAACTAAAACAGTCAAACGTAAGWTTTTTTAGTTCAATGAGGGTTCGACTTCGTCATCAGTGTAAAATATTAAGAATTAAATCGTCTTTAGAATAGTTACCTATACATCTACAGTTGGACCCAGCTATATTATTGCGTTGTGCCGCTGTAGGTGTGAAACGAATGTATGCCGTAACCGTATGCAGTTTATTTTTGTTATTCTGAATTCATTATACGGTCTAGTAGAGGACTATAGACACTATGGTATATTATGTATATATTATAATATAATCACCAACGCCACCGTGCATASACGCGAGGACATAATATATAGAACAAAAGTTGAGTTTACCAAAATGATATTCGTCGTTAGGCTTCAGAATCTAATAGGGCCCTTATCTAAGTCAGAGTTAATCGCTAGTGAAATTTGTTAATTTCCCGTTTAATTACATTCGGACATGAATAATAATCACAACAAAACTTATAGCGTAACGCCGTACATATATTACTATATATACATACAGTAAACGAATAAAAAAAAATCTTACATATAATCTCCAGCTGGACTCGGCATTGAAAGTAGGTACTGTACGTATATTTGTAAACATGTAATTTATATAGCCATAAAATATAACGTTGTCGATTTTAGTCAAGAAAAGATTGTTGTTTTTTTTTTTAATAATTTAAAATAATAATATAGATAACTGTATGATTATATAATTACAACTTTATAACGATCATACGATTCTGTGTTGACGGAAAAAACAGCATTTGCATTATACCAACATTTATGTTTAATTAGTATCTTATCGATATTATAAAGTTATTACAATCGGCCATTTGTGCATAATTTATATTATAATGTAGGTATATGCCTATAAGTGAATTCTTCAATATTTATCCAGCCAATTAAATAATTTTGTGCCTATTATAAATTGTAGAGCCGTAGATGTTGATATAAGCATAGGCCATAGGTGGACAAAATATCAAAATAACATGATGATTTAGAATCCTACCTAAATGACTAAATATAATATAAAATAACATAAAACGTGCCTGTTGGCTGTTACTAAATACAATATTATTATAAATGTATGTAGTATCCATATTCCATATGACGTGAACAAATCACCCCTACTATTACCTATCACCAATGTACTTTAAATAATATGTGGTGAATAGTGTATGCAATATTGCAATGTATCGTACTAATCGTTTAACCGTTGAAATTTATATCTTCAAATTCTCATAATTAATTATTACCCATATACGCCCTATATACTTGAAGTTCAATATTGTTTTCAAGCCTAAAATGTTATGAGTGAATAATAAATATACATATACCTATAGATACTGTTATCGCCTCGAAACGACGTGTTCTATTTATTAACTACTTAATAATACTTATTGGTACCTATATTATAGGTAATAAGGTAAACGTTAAAAACTTTTATAGGTACTCACTGCGAACGCAAAGTTGAAAAAAAACAAAATGTATTTGATCGTGGATGTGCCTAAACCCATTTCGATGCGGTTTTACGCGACTGAAAAAAAAACAGAAAACTCTCCTGACGACACGACGCTCGGACGCTTAACACTGGTGATGATATTTCTATCTTACAACAACAAAACAAAATATATAAGTTACAACAGTAATTTAAAAAAAAACAAAAATAGAGCGAAGGCGACAGAGTCGATTTCGTCGATGCGTGCGTTGTGCGTGATGTCGTGTACGTGAACGGCGCCAAACTGTAGCGACAATCGGCGGCCGGCGGCGGCGAGAGAACGTGTTGCTCGCGTTTGTTTTGATCGGCTTGAAACGGGAACGCGAACCGCGAGTGCGCATGCCTCCGACAAGTTGCGCGACCAAAACGGTGACGGGCGGGAACGCCATCTGATGGCATAATTCGGTTGAAACCAAAAGTTCGAACCGCGGTCTGATGAGATTGACGTCATAAACCGCGGTTCAGAACCAAGCCACCGCCGATGAGGTGGTAGTATAATATTATCCCATTATATCCATGGTCCCATGCAGTGGCGTGCGCAGGGGGGGGGATGATGGGGGATATATCCCCCCCATGGGCTTTTTTTTAGTCTTCTAACGAGTGGATTTTGGATCTCTAGTTCATCAACATAAACATAATACATTTTTATTTATGACATCCCCCCCCCATACCAAATTCCTGCGCACGCCACTGGTCCCATGGATACTGTAGCTGTAAAAAGCAACTAAACAGGAACTCCAAAAACGTGATTTTTCAGAAAACTATATAAAACGCTTTTCAGAACTACAATTATTTATACCAAAAACGTAAAATAAATTTGTGTTTAAAAGTGTTAAATACTAACCAAGTTAAATAAAATCACAATTAATAATTAAATTTAAAACCTTGAGTTGTTCATTTGATTTGCCTATACTTGTCAACCGTGTTCCACAACTGGATCACAATACAAGGTGGACATTTCCCCTGATGCAAGTTAATCATTTATACGATAATCAATTTCTCGTTGTTATTTTACTTTTCCCTCAAATGATTTTCCTGAGGCCCTCAGTATAAAAAATAATCATTTTTAATTGTACTTTTTAAAACAAACCTCTTAATAAAATTTTCAAAATATTTCAACAATTTTTAATTTATTTATAAATATTTGAAATTGTTCATTGTTTTCGTTTTTTTTTTGCTCTATGTCTTATTGACATTATTTTATTTATTAGGTTAAAATCTTGACAATTTATTACAAGGTTCCTCGTAATTTGATATAATAGCAGTTGGAAAATATTGAAAATATATAGGCACGTTTTTTATAACCGATTGAGGTTCAAATTTTGACAAAATTTATTTAGTTGAAAATTTAAATATTATTTAATTGAAAAATGTATGAAACGTTTAACTTTAATAGCTAAGGATTGACAATTTTAAACAAGGTTCCATGTAAGTAGTTAATCCTCCAACAAAAAAAATCGAAAAACTTTACAAACACAGTTTTTTTTTAACGTAACCTACATMATATTATGAATTCATTAATCCGTCAACATATTATGTATATATAGGTATTAGGTACCTATATAAAAATACCAAACAGAACAACTTACCCGCTTTTTTACATTAAATTACAAGTATTTGACAACAAACAACTTGACACGCAGATAAATATTGTAAAATAATTTTGTAATCCAAGTACATCCCAGAGTTTTTAAACGAGGATCGGCCAACGGAACTTTCCCGGAAGCATATTAGCATTCTGGGTTCGGTCTCGGCACCTTTTATAATTTTAGCCTTCTGATTGGTCGTTTGGTTTTACCGCGCTTTTTGAAAATTTAAACTTTATTCTATTATCTAATTAAATAATACCATACAATATACAATGATACATGCTAACGTATTAACGACGAATTTTTAAACACTAATATAAGTGATTGCTTCAACTTCTAAATTGGTATGACGGTAAAAAATCATTATGCATCGATACCTAGTAATTAGTATATAGTTTTATACCAGTAGTATTATACCTAATAACACAATAATCGATAGAAATTATGTSATCTCRATTAAAAACAACCAAATCTATAAACTATAAATCTACATTTGTCTTTTATTTTTAATACATTGACATTGATACATTTGTTTGATAAATTGTATTAAGTTTATAATAATATAATTGTATTTTATATAATATGTTTATTGTTTATGTACCTGATATCACTCATTTAAACAAACATAGTGTCTAAATAATGTAAGCACTGAGAGGAAAAAAAATATAAATATTAAACAACACCTAAAGCAAGAGTCAAACTAAAACTGATAGAGACGCATAAAAAAGGGATATATTAGGGTGGGTAGATAAGTTCTCTTTAACCAATGTGCCCATTCCTTAAAAATTACAAATATAGTTATTTTTGTTTGTATTTYATGTTCACATTTAGGTTGGTACCTACCTTAAATTTAATTCTAGGATGGTTTACCACTAATTTTGTTTCATTTGGCAATATAAATAAATACCATAAATTAACATCAGTTCTGCACTTCTGCCAGTGTCATTTGTTTTTGAAACCTATCAATAAAGTTAGATTGAAATTCAAAATTTGAAATATACAAATAACATAGGTAGTTGACATTTTATTACCTATGTAATAAATAATAACATATAAATAATAATAAAGTCATATTAAATTCTAAAGTATATTTTAAATTGTAATAGTTATTTAACTGGAAGTTAATAACATAATATATTTAATAGTTGGATACAATATTTTTAAAAAATACCTTAGGTCTCCAAATAACAATAAATTAATGAAAAATTCAAGTTAGCACAATTTTACATTCTATGTAATTATAATATTTTAGAGAAAATTTATGAATCTTTAATAATAAATTTAGGTATTATTATTATTATTATTATATAATTATATAATATGTACATCATAATAATAAAAAATATGTGGTATAAGAWTTGATGAAAATAGTAATTAAATAATAGTTAGATACTAGTCATCGTAGTTAATGACCTTTGGAATTTGGGACATTCTTCCTAATATTTTCGGCTAAATTTATTTTTCTTTTTATTGCATTTCTTTTGTTATTGTCTGTCTTCACTGGTCGCCCTACTAATAAACGTTTACTACCTCTTGTGACACCTGGCTTTCTTCTACTTATTGTGGTAGGCTGCACATGAATAGTTGAACGAGATCGATGCCTTAGTGATATAGTACTACCAGCAGTACTCAAAAATGATTCCCAAGTAGCAACTGACTTAACTTTCTTCAAACGATCTAAACATTTAGTGAGTACTGAACCTGAAGTATTCCTTTTAAATTTTTCAAAATTTGTTTCAATTAATTCTTGAATCTGGTTAACACATTCATCAGACTGTTGATCAATATTATGATTATCCAGATAATCATCAGTTTCGACTAATGTATTTGTTATTGGAGATRATAATACATTATTTTCAATAATTTCTATTTTTTCTTCACTAAACTGATTATTTGATTTTTCAATATGAAGTGGCTTATAAAATGATATTTCAGGTACATTTTCTCCAAATGCTAATTTAGCTAGCATATAGCGAGAATCAAYAGTAATAGCTGGTAAATTAGGCATTGCTTCGTTATAGTAATGGTATACTGCTGCCTGATGCTTGCAAAAAGCTCCTAAATTTCCTTTGGAACATRTAAAAAATCCATGAGTGACATCTACTTCATAATGACCAAAATCAGACCCTGATGGTACTTTAAATGTATTGTTTTTCTATCAAATCTTTATTAATATAAATAGCTCTTTTTATTTGATCTTCAAATAGTAATYGAGCTGAGTCATTTCTACCATTAACAAAAGTCCTTAAGCGTCTTAAGTAGTAATCTTCTAGGCCAGTACAAATAAAATCAACCAGTGCAATGGCGTTATATGCCTTATTTCTAGAAAGTACTATGTCTTTAAAAATCCGTACATTAACTTCACTAAAATTATTGGTCTGATTACCATGTACAGTAGAATCTCTAAAAGCTAAACACCATAATTCTTTTCTCGTCCAATAATTATTAATATATTTCACCCATTTTTCATACTTAAGTGGTATAATTTCATCACCTATGCTATTATTAATAGTTTTTGTCTAGCCAATAGCAGTAATATAGACTTTGTGAGCACTATTATAATCTGGTGAAATTAAAATACAKTGAAATAATTTAAACAACAATTTTCTGTGTTCGTTTTTGATATTATGTTTAGCGTCCCATAACCATCTCCATACTGATTGTAAAACGTGGAACCTACAAAGCAAAATATTTGATTGTGGCCAAATTRATTTTAGTGCTTGCCTTTCTGCCTCGCTATCATCAATTATAAAATGTCTTGGAAAACCTTGGCCATCAAAACTGTTAGGAACAGAATCATTCAGCAGGGGAAATGCTGTTTTATATTCATCAACTGTTTGTCCTTTTGTTATGAACATACCCAGAGGAATAGCTCCAATACCACATGATGTAAGCATAAATCTAACAGTATGACTTTGAGTATCACATGATGCTGTACTGTCTGCAAAAGCAATATATTTAGCAAAGGCTAATTTATGAGCCCTTTGCATAATAGGAGTGACCACTAGTATAGCAAATGGATTTTCATTAAACCTTACAATAATTCCATTTTTTTCATAATCTGTTTTTTTATCTTCAAGTTTCTGCAAAATGTTTATTTAAGAATTAAATAATACAATGTACGTATAATCAGTTTTACAGTGTATTAATGTAGAGTATAGATTATAAAGCCATTGCTCCCATTAGTAACTTTAAAAATGAAATATTTTTAAAATGTATTAATAAAAAGTTAGTATCCATTTATTTAGATTATTTTTACTTGGTAATAATTTAAAAAAATAAATATCTAGGTATTAGAATTAGTGTGGAATTTCATGGTGTGATATTATGGTTAACATTATTTTTGGATTTAATTA